AAAGAATGGGATCATAGAGACCATTTTGTCTTACTGCAATAGATTTTCCTTGTATTTGTCCTTGAAGTTAGAAGACATTAATACATAGGATTTTATAAGTATATTGCATATATACATGCATGCTCTTGTGTATTAAACAATGCTGAGGATATGTAGAAGAAAACATTTACTTAGCAGCATATATTACTTAGCAGCATATATTTTTCAAATTTAAAATACTGCCTCATATTTTGGGGAGGACATCTGGCTAACTCAGTTGCTAAGACAGAGTTATTTTCAACATGTAATATGTGAGCTGTAAATTAGCATACCAAACCAACATTTTTATTCTTTTTTCCAACTAATTATTTGAGAATCTCTGAAGAAACAGTAGTAAACTAGTCACAAATATTTTTGTTAAGCTTGAGGAAATGATTTGAGGTGTTTTGATTTTTTTCCACTGATGTTGTATACCATTTGTGGGGTTTTTTTAATGTTTATTTATTTTTGAGAGAGACAGACAGAAAGACAGAGCGTGAGTGGGGAAGGGGCAGAGAGAGAGGGAGACAAAGAATCCGAAGTAAGTTCCAGGCTCTGAGCTGTCAGCACAGAGCCCCACGCAGGGCTTGAGCCCAGGAACCAAGAGGTCATGACCTGAGCCAAAGTCGGACGTTTAACCGACTGAGCCACCCAGGCACCACACCATTTGTGTTTTTTAAAATCACAATGACCACTGACAGCAATTCTCAGATCATCACCAGTAGGTGAGAAGTAAGGCAAGGGCACGTTCAGGATTCCAGTGCGGTTCGGACTCAGGGAGGTCAATGGGAACTAAAGTCTTCAATGACTTCTGGGCTCCCAGGATACAAGATGACAGCTTAAAACAAAAACAAAACTTTGATCCACAATCTACAGGAAAAGAAAAATCCTGGAGAGGTTTAAGAGAACTGATTTTTACACTTAAGCAAGTAAAAAATTAGATAAAAATATAAGATGATATTAGAATCCCTAAATTTTGAAAGCAGTCTGGGGTACATAGGCAATATGCTGTAGGCCTGTGTGATTTGCCTGGCTCCCCCTTCCTGCAGTTCTAGATTTGGGGTCCCGGTGGATACAAACCCTGTGTGCCTTTCCATCTGCCTTCTCTTTTCTGAGGGTGTCACCTGCCTCCCAGACCACGGTGCTGCCACCAGAGCCATTGCCAAGTCTCCCAAGGTGACTGGAAGCCAAGTTGAAACCCCGAGCCTGTGTTTCTCACCCGGAGTGAGCCCCGACCATGCTAGGTCATCCTTCTGCTCCCGGCATGGATGAAATGTCACACCGTGGGGCATGGGGTCTGGTTTTCTGAGCAGCCGCTAAGAGGTTGGGCGATGTACCCCAGAAGTGCAGGAGAGTCTACACCCTGTGAGCTAAAGGGGAAACAGGAAATAGTAGGGGCTGGGGCAAGCAAATTCCCTCTTCTTTCTTTCCTGTAGATTGCTTTAAGATTTTATTTCTTCCCAAAGATCTTCGGGAGAAGTTCCAGGTACTAAACCAACATCCTTGCCAAGAGCCTGCTGAGTCTCTTCATAGCTCATTGTGAAGTGGGGGCCAGCATGGCAACACATCACCTCACGTTGCTTCCCTTTTTTTTTTCTTGCCTCTTTCCCCCCTAACTTCTCACTTTTACCAGTCTGGGTGTGCCCTTCCCAAATAGAATGCCAGCACTTCATTCCTTGTCTCAGGCTGTATTTTGTAGGACAGGTTTTTCTAAGAGAGCTATAACAAGAGTATTCACTTTACAGGAGTGCTGGATAGTTTTCTCCTTGCCCCCAGGAGTCACTCTCCACCTTTTTCCCACCCTGCCCTCTGCCCTGGGAGGCCTGTTGAACTGTATCAACAGGGTGCCCGCACCTTCTGGTTATCACTTAAGTCCCAATAGGGTGCCCTGGTGGGAGATTAGAGGGAGAAAGTATTTATTCTTCTAGCACCTGAGAGAGGTCACCTGGGGCTGGTTGTGTCCCTCATATGAAAGTCACAGCTGGTGGTCTTCTCCGTCTGACTTTCTTGATCTCTGAGACAAGCTTCCTCCTGCCATTTCTTTGGACCCAGGGGATATAACAGCTCCACCCTGCTACCCTCAGATTATACCCTATCCCTTGCAACTCTTCTTCACCCTGCCCACTCCTTTGGAATGTATCTCTTTATAAGTAAGTCACTCCAATTTGAATGATTTCAGTTTTGACATTGTTACCTGTTTCCTGTTGGGACCAGTAGTGAAAAGGAATGGTTAAATTAGAATACTGTTTATCTTTGTTGGAATAGTGCATAGCCATTACAAATCGGTTAATATTTGGTAGTAAAAGCAAGTGATGCACTTAAAAAAAAAAATCACTTAAGAAGTCAAACAGTAATGGGACACCTGGGTGGCTCAGTCAATCCCTCAGTGTAGGTTTGGGATTCTCTGTCTTTCTCCCTCTCTCTCTGCCTTTCCCTAGCTCTCATGCACCTGCTTGCTCATTGTCTCTCTCTCTCTCTCTCTCTCTCTCTCAAAATAAACTTTAAAAAAAAAGGAAGAAGTCAAGCAGTCAGAGTTCTGGCAGGAATCAGAATTCCGTCACCTGAAAGGACTTTAATGAAGAGACCATTTATGGGAAAGTGGACAAGTAAAGAGAAGCAGTAGGGGATGGTGAAGCACCCAGGACAAGAAAGGCAGAAAACATTGCCACCCCAAATGCCGAAGGGACAGAAGGAAGAAACTGTTAAGACGCCTGAGCCCAGCACAAGTGGGAGCCCTGGAGGAGTGGCCACCTCTCCAGAGGTGTAATCATCGAGGGACACAGGCCTGCCAACACCTCATCTGTGGCAGGTTGACAGAAGGATATGCCCTCCCCTTTCTCCCCTCCTACCCACTGATCTTCTGTCACTGGCTCACTGTCAGCACTCCCATTGGCTGAACCTAGTTGAAACAAGAATGATGTGGCCCATCGGGGTCAGCCTGCTTGGGCTCAGAGTGGGGCCGACGAAGGCAAAGGATGGGTTTGGTTGGCACAAAGTGAGGCAGGCAACAGACAGTAAACAGGACTACTGGGATATCAAACTCCATGGAAATATAATCTTGTGAAAAGCAATACATGTATTTATGCGTAGGGGAAGACTGAACTAGAAATTTCACATAGCAACTTCATGATAATAAAAGAGTAAGAAATATTTTTTATTTGTTATAGTGTTTCGTATATTTTCCAAATCAAAAAAATTGGCTGCATAATACTTTAAAATTTATCTTAGAAACAAATAAAGACTAATTGGAGGATGTGATTATTTTAGTATTCATTTTTAAAGGAAAAGTTTCTCTCAGTGGCTCCTCGTGGTAAGAATTTTACTTCCCGAATTTTCCCAGAAGTAGGACCTCATCTAGAGTAAGGTTAAGGCCAAATGAGAGGGGTTTTTTGTTGGTTGGTTGGTTGGTTCTTTTCTCAAAGCACTAGTTGGTTTTCACACCATCCTGCCAAACATTGCGAAAGAATAATCTAGTGTGGGACAAATGGTATCCCAGCTCTAATCATATTAGTAGAGGTAATCCCAATAACTACGATTATCTTTGTAACGTAGCGGAGCTGGTCCGTGATAGTCACTTGGTCAAACAAAATTTCTTAGAGTTAGATGCACAGACCTCAGTGGATAAACATTAACATACAGCTTCATAATTCTTTCAGTTTAATTATATTGTAAACAAATGTCTCGGATCACATTTGTTGTCAAAACTACTTTTAGAACTGTTTGATTTTTCTATTGCTCCGTATCTCTCCTGTTTTCACCAGAACTACACGCCATGCACCATGGAGTAGCACAGGGGTGCTGTCAGTGGCCTGAGTCTGCCCTGGCTCTTTCCACACCCAGCCTCTTCTATTCCCAGAGCCGTGCACAGACTCCCCGGCAGCACATGGTGGGTGCAGGGTAAAGGCGGCTACTTCCTCCCGAGGAGTATTTAGCGTGTGCAGAATGAGATAGCAAATGTTTGGAATGACCCAGAGACCAGCTGTTGATGGCAGTACTCCTACTAAAGCAAATCCTGAACTCCAACGTCTCAGCCCTTCCCTTCAGCTGAAGCAGCACTCGGCAGTGCACTGTAGAAACTTAGCCCCCTGTGGGAGCCCAGGCCTGGGAACCTCCCCGACCTGCCAGGCTATTTAAAGCCGAGGATTATGCAGAGAGAGCAGATGCAGTACATTTTGCCGTCTTCTGAAATCTAAACTTTTAAACAGCATCAAAGAACACAGATTAAAACTCTTTAATTCAGTAATTGTACTTTTAAAAGTGGTTTCTCAATACGAACTTATAAGGGTAGGAGTCAACACATATCTTTGTACAATCGCATAAATATCCACAGAACATATGCTGTTGTCAAAAATACATTCAAATAGGATTCAGTTCATCTTTTTTAAAATGGGGTACATATTTAGAGCTTTTTAAAAATAAAATTCATATCTGAACATTCCAATATTATGTTTAAGGCAGTGACAGCTGTAGTGAATCATAAATATATTTCAGATCCAATTTCGAAGTACTGTATTTTAACCTTCACACTCTATATTTACAAAGTTCCACTTCAATTAAAATTCATGGAGAAGAAGAGCTTGTCCAAGTGAAGGGAATCACAGCTTTTTTTTAGCAATATAAAGAGTCTTCATAAAATGGATAAGATATCAGTATGGTTCTTTTGCCATCAATTATTACAGAAGCAGATTCTGTGGCATTGTTGGAGTAACAAGGAAATAATTCCGAGTCTTCACTAGTCTGAAACCCACCTCCTAAACTGTCACTGTTTCGGGTGTAAGAATAACATCGCTTTGAACGGTAGGAACATTTAACAATTTTCCTCTCTGAGGGAGAACAACAAAAACAACCACAACATACCAGGAACTATGTCTCTACTTTTAATCTTCACAAAACCCATTTCAAATGTGGTTAATACAAACATTCCCTGTGGTACCATTGGCTGAATTCTAATCTTCCTGGAGCTGTGAGAACAGGAATTGATGTCAATTAGTCCCAACTGGATCCTTTACTTCCACCACCAGAATTCCATCGTGACAGAGGATGGCAGACAAATCTTTGGTCTCAATGCCATCTGGCAGCTTATACTGACGGGTGAAGCTTCTTGAGATAAAACCATGCTCATCCATTCTGGTTCCGTGCTGAGCCTTGATCAGCAGCCAGCCTTCGAAGGTCTGAATGATGATATCCTCGGGGAGGAACTGGACCACGTCCAGCAGGATCTGGAAGCGGGACTTGCCTTCTTGGGTCGGCATCTCCACCACTGAGTCCACCCGAGGAGCCTGGGCCGCCCTGGCTTTGCTCACGTCCACCGTGGTTGGCCCCGGCAGCGCGTATAAAGCATGATCCAGCCTGCAGTCTTCCAAACCTCGAGCTTCAAACTCCTCCTCGTAGCGCACCGGAGTCTCTATGAGGTGCCGCAAGATGATTTTTGCCATGGTCGGAGTCAAAGCCAGCATTGAACCGCTTCGCTTCGGTCTATGTGCCGTCAGGAGCAAACCCTCGCAGTTGCCTACTGACTGGATTATCAGTCGCAACGGCTCTTCGCTTGGAACCCTGCGCAGACGCAACTACTTAATTAGGCCTGCATCCTACCGCCGCACACCCACTCTTGTCTTTTCACACGCGCTGACAATGAACGGCTATTTATAGGGTATGGTTCAAAGTTGCATTTAGCACACGGCCGGCTGAAGCTGCCCAGGCAAGGATCGCCCTTACATTCTCAGCTATCCTTGGCAAATGTGTCTGCTTTGCTTACCTCAAGAGAAAAGGAGAATTAGAATCAGAAACAGCATTTACAGAATTTCTGACTGTCTGTCCTTGTGAACTGCAGTGATCTAAGGGACTGTGACTTCTTACCATAGTCCAGAGATGTGTATTCATAATATGAGCTAAGACTTCTGTCTCCCTTGTCTCCAAGTGCAAAGCTGGGAGGGATGAATGTAGCTATAGTTGACTAGGAATTAAGATACACAGACACATATTCAAATTTCAGACATTCACCAAACTCTCAGCCCTCTGTCCTACACATTTTCTTTCCTTTCATCTTTTTCATCACTTGTCCTGAAGGGACATCTGAGCCAAGTCATCTGGGTTTATTATATTTGACTCATCAAAAATGAGATCAGTCGACTAAGTTAGATAATGATGTCAAACCTCAGATGGGGGTTGAGTGGGGCATAGAATGAGGAACTTAGTAATGAAAATAAAGCCACAGGGGAGAGGAAAATGTTAAAGCGTTGAACTACTTGATAGTTAGGCCCAGAAAGCTAAGGATGAGTCTACTTGTAGCTCCGCTATTAAAGTGGCAAAAATAAATGACCCATAATTTCTTAACGATCACACCCTTTATATTCAACTTATATTGAAAAAGAATGAGGCAACTTTTTACCCACTGCTGGAGAAGGATCTCCAAAATGTGCTAAGTAAAAACAGCATATGATATGCTACTATTTATGGGGTTTTGTTTTTGTTTTTGTTTTTTGTATAAGTAGGTATTTGCTTATATAAATAGAATCTCTCTAAAAGATATGTGGCTGAAGCCGGGGCTACCTCATGCAATGGTGACAGTGATTGGGAGGAAGGGGCTGGAGGGAGATTGGCTTTTCACTATGAACACATTTGTGCTTTTTATTCTAACAGTGTGTTTAACGTACAAATGCACAAGAAGGCTTAAAATATAGAAAACTTCCACTCCACGGAGGTTAGTATTTTCTAGATCAGGTAGACTCAGGAATAACTTTCCTTAAAAATCATATCCATTTTCTGGGGGGCCTGGGTGACTCAGTCAGTTAAATGTCCGATTTCGGCTCAGGTCATGATCTCATGGCTCGTGGGTTCGAGCTCCGTGCTGACAGTTCGGAGCCTGGAGCCTGCCTCGGAGTCTATGTCCCCCTGTCTCTCTGCCTCTTCCCTGCTCTCACTCTGTCTCTCTGTCTTTTTGTCTCTGTCTCTTGTCTCTCTCTCTCTCTAAAATAAATAACGTTAAAATAAATCACATCCATTTTCTTAGAATGAAAGAAAGATTTTTAAAAAATGAAACTTCAGAAAACAGGAGGGAATGATCTCCCTTAGCTCCTTTTTATTACTCTGAAAACCTCCACAGACATTTTGGTGGGTACTTAAGAACATGCCCTAATAATGCTGTGCACATTCAGCTTTTTTCACCTGCACTTTACAGGTTGGTGGCCCTGGAGGGAAAAATGTACTCTTTTAGACATGTCAACATCCTCTGACTCATAAAATATTGAGAGGTGTTTTCATCAGCGCTGCTCTGAGAGGTAAGAATTGAGCTCATTGCCCGTGGCAGGAAATAGACAAGATAATAAGGATTTGGCTTTAAAATACTAGACATAGTCATGGCAAAATTGAGAAAAAGATACAGAGATTTTTCATATAACCCCTGCCCGCATACGTGCACAGCCTCCCCCATTGTCAGCATCCCCCACCAGAGAGGTACATTTGTTACAACTGGTGAATCCACATTGACACATCAGGATCACCCAAAGTCCACAGTGGACATTAGGGTTTGCTCTTGGTGTGGTACATTATGTGCATTTAGAAAAATGTGTAATGGCATGTATCCACTCTTATGGTATCATACAGAGGAGCTTCAACTGCCCTAAAAATCTTCTGTGCTCTATCTGTTCATCCCTCCCTCCCCCAACCCTGCTCTAAAAAACTGCTGTAAAAAAGAAAGCCTATTTAAAAAATTAAAACTGAAAATCTTAAAACTAAAACTGCCTAAAAAATAAACTCTTAAAAAAATTCTGTTAGGGTGGTCAGAGGAAAATGTATCCAATTAATCTTACAGTTTCTTGCCTCCAGGGACCTCTAAAATAGGCAAGGAGGACCGGATGTGAGTGGTGTTTCCATGTGGGATTGTGTGAGTTGCCTGGGTTAGGCATGAGCATCTGATGCAACATCCAAGACTTCTCCCAGCATTTTCCAAAAACTGCCCTTTGACCCTGCCCACCCCAGAATTGCCCCCCACTCCTCATCAACTACCTTGGCCCTTTCTCCCTCTGGAGAATCTACCAGGCTTCCAAACTGGTCTTTCTGCCCCAACTCTTGCCCTACTGTCTCTCGGCCATGGGTTTTTTTGTTTTTGTTTTTTCTATAAATACAGTCTAGTACTATTTTCTCTTCCTTGTGATTTTCCTAATAACATTTTCTTTTCTCTAGCTTACTTTATTGTACCAACACAGTATAATAGGTACAACATGCAAAATATGTGTTAATCGGCTGTTTATGTTATGGGTAAGGCTTCCAGTCAACAGAAGGCTATTAGTAGTTAAGTTTTGGGGGAGTCAAAAGTTATACTTGGATTTTCAACTGTGCAGGTTATTGGCACCCCTAACACCCCAGCTATTCAAGGCTCAGCAGTACTTGGTCCCTGCTGACCTCCTCCTCACCTCTCTCCCTTGATCCTATGATTCGCCCACACTGTCTGTCCTTGAATACTACAGTTTGTTTCTTCCTCAGGCTTGTTGTGCTGGAGTCCCTTTTTCTTTGAAAGTTCCACTCTCAGAATGTCTCAAGGTTGCCCTTTTTGTACCATTCAGGCTTCAGGTCAAAGGTCATCTCTTCAGACAGGCCTTTCCTGACCATCCAGTAGGATCTTCCATCTGTCACTCCATTACAGTACTCTATTTTTATCTTCATCACCATTACCAGTATGTAAAGCCATCCTACTTATGAATTTATATTCCAGTTGGGGAAGGCAGACAATAGCAGTTTGAGGTCAGAAACATAGGGTTCATGGAGCACCTGGGTGGCTCAGTCGGTTAAGTGTCTGACTTCGGCTCAGGTCATGATCTCCTGGTTTGTGAGTTGGAGCCCTGCATCACACATCAGACTGTTCTGACAGCTCAGAGACTGGAGCCTGCTTCGGATTCTGTGTCTCCTTCTCTCTCTCTGCCCCTCCCCAACTTGCACTCTGTCTCTCTCTCTCTCACTCTCAAAAATAAACTTAAAAAAAAATAAAAGAAACTTAGGGTTCGCTACTGTATCCCCAGCACCTAAGATAGTGCCTGGAAAACTATAGGGAAAAAAACGTCAAACTGCTACAGACTTTGTACTTATTTCAGTTGGCCCTTGATGCCACTGGGCCATCCTTCTGTGTACTTCGACCAGCTTCTCCTATTTCTCCAAAGTGGATACTGCAAATGTCTTCCACTCCTCAGGCTTTCCCTTGGGTACTGGTCTCACTCTCCCAGATGAAATGACTTCCCCTGAGGCCCTTCTACGTTGATACCCAGACATGTCAGAAAGAGAGGAGCCTCTTTGCCTTGCTTATGATTCCCTTGTCCCCTCCCCCCTCCTCTGGGCTTTCATCCAGCCAGTTACCCCTTCCTGGGTATTCTCCAGTCTCTCAGAATCCATGCTCCATCAGCCTGAAATCAAGTGTGCCCCATCTTTTTAAAACAAGACCTCCTAGACCTTCTGTCACCTTTGAGCTGGTTATTCTCATCCCTTCACAGCCCATGTCCTTGGATTTGTGGTCTGTATTCAGTTGTCACCCTCCACACTGCTGCAGAGTGACTTTTGCCCTACCACCGACTCTGCCCTTGGTTAGGTCGGTCAGCCTCATTGCTAAGTCTGTACTTCACCTTTACCTTCCTTCACCTATTCAGCATTTGACATAAGCTTCTCATCAGGAAAGAGTGCACTGTTGTTTTTTTTTCTTAGCCCTTTCAAGAGGACCAGCAGAGTTTTATTCAATTCCATGCATTCTCTATGGGGGCAATGTCACCCACAAGGGGACAAAAATTGGTCCTTATAGAGAAAAAATTGCATATAATTTAAGATTATGTAAAATTTTAGCCATTAGATAATGGTTCCTGGCCCTCCAAAGGCCCACAGAACACAAACAGACACATGGTGTATCTGTGATATTAAATTTTCATGGGGGAGAAGG